ATATATATATATGTGTGTGTGTGTGTGTGAAAAATGTAAGAGAATTCAAGGTTCCTTTCCACCACCAAACTGAGTTGGGTTAGGTGAGTCGGCAGCATGCAGACTTGCTGCGCCTTCCTCGCGATCGCTGGTCGCTCGTCACCACTCGATTCACCAACCCACCACATCCCACGCGGACCCCACAGAGAATAACGAATAGTCTCCTGCCACGCCAGCTGGGGTCGGGGTCAGATGAATTCGGGCGGAGCAGCGCACCGCTTCTGAAGGGGTTGGTGGCGGTGCTCTCGTAGTATCATCGGAGACGGGGGCGGGGTTGGTGGGAGTTTCGTGGTGCGGGAACACCCGACTTAAGATACGCACCTTGACGTGGCTCGCATCCAGAGGCTAATACCCTGACGTGCACCCACGGCGTCCTTCGTACCTTAAGTCGTAACTTTCGTTGCTACGTGACGCAGCCTCGTGGAAGGGTTGCTGGTTTTGCTACTTTAAATCCCATCCCAATTCCCCTCGTTCTTCCAGAGCAACCGGAGCGCAGAGAGAGAGAGAGAGAGAAGAGAGATGGCGCAGGCGATCATGTCAAAGGGATTGGAGGTGAATCCTGCGCTGACGCCTGCTCATATCGGCGGAGCTCGGAGGCCGACGCCTGTTCCTTACTCCCTTCCTCTTGGATCAGTGGCCAGGCCCGGGCCTTTCGGTGGCTTGAGAGCGCGAGGCTGCGGGAGGCGCGCATCGCCTCTTAGGGTCTCGGCCTCTGTCGCCGTGGCTGCCGAGAAACCATCGGCGGCGCCGGAGATCGTGTTGCAGCCCATTAAGGAGATCTCCGGTACGGTTAAGCTCCCCGGATCCAAGTCCTTGTCGAATCGGATCCTCCTCCTTGCTGCCCTTTCCGAGGTGAGGTGCTTCGTCGAAAGATTGAAACTTTTGCGGGTTTGGCGTGGTGGGATGTGCCTCTTTGGTGAATTTGCGGGGAAAAATGATTTTTGAGTGCTCTCTTTGATGAAAGCTTTCGCGGTTGGAATGATTACTTGATTCTCTGATGGATCCAGATAATTAGCTTAATTTCCACGATGAACAAAAAATACCATGCATATATAGATCTAAATGGATATGAAAGAGTTCAAATTTTATTAGGTGGATATCGAGGTTAAATCCATCGAATCTCCCTCTTCTTTCCTTTTCCTTATTTTATGATCCACCATAAACCTTTTTCAGGGTACCACCGTGGTGGACAACTTGTTGAACAGTGATGATGTTCGCTATATGCTTGCTGCTTTGAGAACCCTTGGCCTTTCGGTGGAAGATGATGTTGCAACTAAGAGAGCAACAGTTGTAGGATGCGGTGGCCAATTCCCGGTGGGTAAAGATTCTAAACAAGAAGTTGAGCTCTTCTTGGGAAATGCAGGGACTGCAATGCGGCCACTGACAGCAGCTGTCACAGCCGCTGGTGGAAATGCAAGGTTTACTATTATTTACTGTCTGAATTAGGTGTCTTCATCTTGGTACATTTAATTATACTGTATTTTAAACTTTTATCGTTTGATGTTTCAGCTACGTACTTGATGGGGTCCCAAGAATGAGGGAAAGACCTATAGGAGATTTGGTTGCTGGTCTGAAACAGCTTGGTGCAGATGTTGATTGTTTCATGGGCACCAATTGCCCTCCTGTTCGTGTAAATGCAATGGGTGGTCTTCCAGGGGGAAAGGTTAGTCTCTCTTTACTACCTTTTATCCTGTTACTAGTTTGGGATTCTAATATGTATCACCTTTTCTTTTGTCTTCTTCCTCAATTACATAAGCATCATAACCTTTGGCCGAGTAGAATAATTGCTTGTTCAGGAGCCAGTGCGTAGTTAATTTTGCTTTGTAAGAAAATGACAAAGGATGTTACATCTTGCTAATACTCTTTTTTTTTTTTTTTCTAAATGGAGTAAACATACTTCAAGTACTTGGTGCTAATAGCACACTCAAGAAATCGTTGAGTGTATCAGTCATTGTATATCTTTTTTTCTTTATACCAAAATCTGGTTAATCCACCTGAAATGGTGAAGAATTATTTGCTTTTGACTTACTAGTTCTACACTAAGAGCTTGTGCTTCCTCATGAAAATAGAAGCAGAGAAAAGGTTGGAGGTAAGAGCTTATTCTTTATCCAAGCAATCTGTAAATTAAGCAAAGTCTGAACATGTGTAACAGGGAAAAGCATAGGTGTTATAAGAGGAATGTTCACTATGATAACACAGCCAATGAGGATCTATACAGGCCAACTTTATTATGATTGTGCTTTATTATGGTTACCTCTGCTAGTTAACAAGGTTATATTTGGGTGGAATGGGGAAGATCTTAATGATCAATTATTTATTATGTCTAATCAATATTAGCTTGCTTAAGTTTTATTAGTATCAATTTGATTTTATGGGCCACTGTGACTTGAAATCATTTGGTGCAATACAAGGATGCATACATCTCTTATGACATTCTATTTGAGGACCAAGAATGAGTCTACCGAATCTTTATCTGTGCAATAATATTGGTTTGGATCTTTTTCTTTTGCTTTGGGACACACAACTTAGCCTATATGTTTCTGGATTATGTTTATATACTTTGGATTCACATATTTACTTTGCTGATATTGACTTTTCTTTTCTTTTTGTTTATGCATCACTTTGTTCAGGTGAAACTTTCTGGATCCATTAGCAGCCAGTACTTGACTGCTTTGCTCATGGCAGCTCCCTTGGCTCTTGGGGATGTGGAGATTGAGATCATTGATAAGCTTATCTCCATTCCATATGTAGAAATGACTTTGAAATTGATGGAACGTTTTGGAGTTAAGGTTGAGCATTCTGATAATTGGGATAGATTCTATATCAAGGGTGCTCAAAAATACAAGTAAGTTTTCGATTGCAATATTGATGATGGTAATACTACTTGCTAAATTTATAAAGATTACATTTTTTGGTATACTTCTGTTCCATAGGTCTCCTGGAAATGCATATGTCGAAGGTGACGCATCAAGTGCTAGTTATTTCTTAGCAGGCGCTGCAGTCACTGGTGGCACTGTCACTGTGGAAGGTTGTGGTACAAGCAGTCTACAGGTGATTCTTGCTCCGCAAAATTTCATGATCTTGAAGCACGTAGCTTTTGTTTTATTTATTTATTTATTTGCCCATCTTTTCCTTTTACCCTAAATGCAGGGAGATGTGAAATTTGCTGAAGTTCTTGAGAAAATGGGAGCAAAAGTTTCATGGACTGAAAATAGTGTGACTGTTACTGGTCCACCACGGGATCCTTCCAAGAAGGGACATTTGCATGGAATTGATGTCAATATGAATAAGATGCCTGATGTTGCCATGACCCTTGCTGTTGTCGCACTATTTGCTGATGGCCCTACAGCCATAAGAGATGGTTAGTTTCAGTTTTTGCTGTATATTCTCTTTCGACAGGAAGAACTAAATGTAGTAGTCTATGCGGTGGTGTCTGGCAGAATATACTGCTGTATATTCTCTTTCAATTCACCCTTATTTTCTGGTTTCAGTGGCTTCATGGAGAGTTAAGGAGACTGAAAGGATGGTAGCCATTTGTACAGAACTTAGAAAGGTTGGTAAAGTTTGATCTTTTGTGTAACTCAGTCATCTTGTTTCATTTCCTGACAATTCTTCTTGCTCTGTATGTGATGAACTAGCTTGGAGCAACGGTGGAGGAAGGCCCCGACTTTTGTATCATTACGCCCCCAGAAAAGTTGAATATAACAGCGATTGACACGTACGATGATCATAGGATGGCAATGGCATTCTCGATAGCTGCTTGTGCCGATGTTCCTGTCACAATCAAAGACCCAGGTTGCACTAGGAAGACATTCCCCGACTATTTCGATGTTTTACAGAGGTTTACAAAGCATTGAAATGGGACCTCCCAAAAAGAGTATAGTGAAGTTCCAATCCCCGGGTCTGCAGAGAAGCCTCTCTAAATTTCTCACTATTTTGTGATGGACGATTCTTTGTTTTGCTGCTCAATAATGTGACTTGCACTGCCTATGCAGGTTGTTATCTTAAGACACCTTTGTATCTGAATTGAGTATTTTTGGGTAGAGGACGCGTTGGTACATGTCATTTTATTTGGAAACATCCAACCAAATACGTGTAATATGCTGTAGACTGAATCAGGTCATGAATTCTTATGCCCCTTATTACCCTATTGCTTGTTTGCTTGATTGCAAATCCAACTACATGTCCAATCCACCGACCAAAAATAAGAGTACTTCTGGAGGAAGTTGGAAATATTTTCCATTATCATAGAAGAAATTGACGACAGAAATCAGTTGAGACATACAACGTCTGGGCTTTAGCAAGGCTCTCTCATTCACCACTTTTACAGACTATGAATTCTTTTTGCTTCCATTCTAATGAGGCTGCTGATTACTCTTTTGAAACAATTTTGCCTGCATCATCGAAATATAGTTTTCATTTACCATTTTGGCGGACAATAAACACAAAAAAGTTCTAAAATATCGATCATCCTCTTAAGAACAGCTATCACCATGCAGCAGTTTGCTCTCAGCCGCCAGAAGCATGAGTTGAACCAGGCAAAAAGGTCCACTAGAACATGATCAGCACATTCTTCTTGGCCCGAGTGCCAGCCACAAATGGGTACAAAGCTTCTGCTGAATAAACAGATAGGCCAGTCGATCATGTCATTCATAATGCGAGAGTTTAGGAGCTTCTCGTGCTAACTTTCCAGCCTATCTCAAGACCAAACAAAAAATTGACTCTGTAGTCACTCTTGCTGCTCATATATTTGCATGTAAGCCTCAGATAGAGCAACCATTTGAGGAAGAGTTTCGTTGACATGGAGGTCCTGCATCTCAAACCTGAAGGAACACAATGGTCGGCGTGCACACAGGCAACAATACCAAAAGGAACACAGTGGTCAGCATGCATACAGACAACACTGAAACACTTAACTTCAATAACAAACGTACCAGAGTTCTTCCGATTTACGCTGCACAAAAACTCTGTAACATCCTTCTCCTGGCTTGCCATCATGAACTATATTTGCAATAAGATCGTATTTTGACCTTAACTTCTTCTTGACCTTTGGTGGTGGTAATGGAATATAATCCTTCAATTCAAGATTCTTCACAGGAAAGTTCACTGAAAGAGGAGAGTATCAACAAACAAATAATGACTAAAAATATAGAACATCTCATATACAAAAAGAGACATAGTATACCAAGAGTAGGGTTCTTTTCTATGAAGAAGTTGTTTTTTGTAAATCGACGCATGTGAAGAATAAGATACTTTGGCAGTCTGGTGACACGATATCTCATCCTTGCTATGCAAGGCCGCACAACCTCTGTTACGGTCTCACCATCAAACTTCTTCAATATGTTGAAGAGGGGAACCTACACAAAGCAATAGCAGAATAGGTTTCCTCCATTCATCCTGTAACAGGAAACTAACTAGGAAACTAACAAAAAGTATACGGTCTGAACTTGCTGATCCGGAAAGGAAAAACTAAGCTTTATGAACAGATCAGACATTCGAGCCAGGGTAATCATGAAACAATTCAAATTTCCTTGCTTTCGTCCACAAAATAAATGGCTTTTTCCTGAGACCAAAAAGACCCACTCTACCAAATACCCTTTAGGAATAACAGCTATTAGCTTATTATAATTTACTCCAATTAGGCCCCTAGAAACTGAACCAAAATAAAGAGAATAGCCTATCCAAGACAATCCAAAAGAAAAGGAACTCCGATAACATCTACTCCAACCATCACAATTAAACAAACAATCTTCTGTTTGTACCTAAGTAAACTCATCACCAAATTTGACATGCCATCAGTTAATTCCACTAACAATTACATTTCAGAAGATTTCAGAAGCAAATTCAAAATGAATTACTCAATAAACTAAATCAACAATTTCAAAACTTATGGCCAAGAACTATCAGAATAAAAGTGCCAACTGTGTTACACAAAAGAGGGAAATAATTGTGCTTTGTTCAGAAATTACTAGCAACAGAACTGCAAAACCTATTATGCACTAGCATTAGAATATCATATTAACATCTTCCCATTGAATTTCTGCATGTTATGGGTGCTGCAAACCTAATGATTATGTGATATGATTTGCTCATCTCTATATTGGACCTTCTCAGACATAACTAATGTGGCAGTCAAACCCCTTAGCTTTTCTAATATATAAACAGTTTTGCTGGACATTGGTATAGTCGAAAGAACATATAGCACACTGAGAAGATTCAACTAATATTAGAGTCAATCAGGACAGCATATCTTTTAGAAGATATTCCTATGATAACCCTCTAAAAGTATTTCCTTTTTCGCTCAAAAGAAAAGAACAGGATACTATAAAAGAATCTAAAATATCACTTCAACATTCAAAAGAATGAATGAGATTCTGTAAGGTTCAGAAGAATTGCATTCGATTAGCAGTAAGTGGCAATCTAGACCGTGAATGTCTTTATATAAGACTCAAGACAAATACAAGCAGAGGCATTTAAATAAATACCTGAGGTATAATGTTTTTCTCCATTGCATCCTTAAAAAGGGGAGGTGGTGGCAAGTCAAGACCAAGCATTAGAAATGGCACTTTAGATGTTTCCCTCACAACACTGTCATTTGATGACCCACGCTCTGCAACAATTACCTTGTTCTCCTCATCATCATTATCATTCTTCTCGATAAGATGTTTCTTCTGGATCTCTTTCACAACCTCCAATTCACCCTGCATTCCAGAATAATCAGCATTGCAGATAGCAAAGGAAAAACACAAACAAATGATTTATGTGAGGAAAAACCTGAAAGCAGTCATAAATTATGCTTCGATCCTTTTTCTTTGAATGTCTAAGTTGTGCATGCAATGTGTTTAACAGCCAGGATATAAATTCAACAGGATCTGACTGAACACCAATTTGGAACCGCTTGTTACTAGCTTTCATAACAGCCTGTAGAAACTCATGGGGGCTGACCTGAAATGGAATAATCAATGAGGAGCATTGCCACAAATGAAAATAGCAACATACAGAAAAAGATGAATCGACCTGTCCCTTAAAGTTCCTTGCATGCCAAATTTTTCGTGTAAGTTCTCCAAACCGATGAACAAGTGGAGATTTACTGTGCTGATAATTTTCAGGGATCAGGAAAAAGTTCCTCAGAGGAGTCACTCTCATTAAAGACTGAATTGTGACATTTACAAAATCAGTCTCCTTAATATTGTTGAGACCCACCTAAAAACAAGGAAAAAACTGATCAATACATGAAATCGATGATCATAGCTGATGTACTAATTCTGAAGAAAGTGCCAATAGCAAAATATAGTTGTAACAGCATAAGAACTTATATCATGGCACTTGCTTTCAGGGATATAAGCCTTAAACAAGGAACATACAGCTTTTGTTGCATTTTGTACTATATGCAGCAAACAATTAGATAACTAAGCAGATTGTCTTGTAGAGCTACCAAAGGATTCCATCTAAACAAAGTGTTAACAATGAATACATAGTGATGATCATTAAAGATTCTAGAACCCAAGCAACTTTGCATCCCTTATGCAGACATACATACTAGAAAAATGCATACCAACAAACCCTCTTTTTAACTGCATTCATTCAATTCAATTACAGACAGAACTACAAGCTGTCGTCTCTTTCCAAAACCTAACCATATTAATGATACAACATGGTCTTAAAATGCTGTATGTATGCAGGTGGAACTTACCATTCCAGGTAGATAGTTGGACCCATCCAGTGCTCTCGACCATTGCCTGTTTTCATCAAGGTGCAGAACTTGTTCTCTTGAAAACCTGAATGAAAAAACCGTACAAAGTTGGCCTGAGTACAAGAAAATTTCCTTAACATCTGATATAGAAAAAAGACAAAAATTGACACAATAATAAAACTCAAATTAATCCCAAAATCATCCATGAGATCATCTAAGGCTTCTGTTATGGCAATATTGCTCCTCATTGATCCACTTTCTCTGGAAAAATTGGGGGTTGGTGTACTAGTAGCAAGAGCCAGATACAATATGTTTTCATTTTTGAGTTGGTATATAGGTTCAATCAAAAGGTAGAGCGAACTGTTACACTAATGTCTTTATATGAGTAGGTCTTGGAATCCAATTAAACAGCAATTTAGTTGACTGTAACATGAATCAAGTCAGAGTCAATACCAATACAGGGAAAATGTTATAACCATTGCTGACAGCCCTTTGGATCCTAGAAAAGGGTATCAAAATATTCAAGTTTCTTAAAACAAGAGGGGGCAGGTTTCAAAATTCTACTGGATCAAAGCATAAATCCCTGCTGAATCCATACTATAACATCTAGAAGCAAAGAAGCAAGAGTTGTATGTAACAGTACACATACCTAGGATTTAGAACATGCCGAATATCATCTAATGATGGATCATCTATCTCATATCCATCAGGAAGGCAATAAACTTTCTCCGTTTGAAGATTAATATATACATGGTGACCTGCTTCAAGGCTATGTGTATGTGCATGAGAATTCAGACCTCTTCCTTGGTAGTACTTTCCACAAACCAAGCACGCATAAACATTTAAGTTTGAGAGAGAGATGGAACAGAACTTCTCAAAATCAAAATCCAAGACCTGCATTACGTATATAACAAAAATTACAATGATCAGATACAAAGCAACCTACGTGCTACTAGATGACCAAAATATGATTATTAAATCACAATTCACATCACAAATAAAAATGTGAAATTTGTAATGTGGAGTATATTTATCCAAGTCAAATGTCAACAAACAAAGAACACTTATCAATGTAATTGGACATGACAAACCATATGAAGCACTGCAGAACATCAAAACTTCAATTTCTTTGTCACCGCGGGCAAGCGCCCAGTTCAAATGAAGCAACCGAACCAGACTTTTAAGTCTGGTTCGGTTCAACAATGGCTAGTTGGTTCAATTGAACCAACTAGCCACTTTCTTACCCACAAAAGCCACCCCCCATTGAACCAACTAGCCACTTTCTTACCCACAAAAGCCACCCCCCGCTCCCCCATGCGACCTCGAGCCATCAGCCCTAGTGCAACTTCTGCCTCCGTCGCCAACGCTTTCTGCAGCCTCCGCCGCAGACACAGAGGACCGAGGCTTCCTCTATTGTCAATGGACAGGTCCAACGGCCTAGCCTTTGTCCACAGCTTCCTTCTGCCGTCGTTGCTTCCATGTGCAACTCCTTCTACTGTCGAGGGAGAGGACCGCAACTTCCTCCACCACCGCAACTTTCGCTGTGGCTGCTGTCGTCTGCAGCTTCCGCGGTTGCCACTGCTGCCGTCCACAGCTTCCTCCACCACCGCCACTGTCGTCCTCCGAAAGTTCCACTATTTGTGACTTTTTCACCCCTCCTCTTAATAGTTCTTTTCTCCCCCTCTAACTACTGTTAACAGTAGTTTAATATCATATTTTTTATTTATATAATCATATTTATCATTTATATTATATTTTTTTATTTTAATATTTCAAAGCGCCTTGGGCATTTTGTGACCTTAGTGCCTAGCGCTTTTTAAATCATTACTAACTACTTTCTAGACCCATTTTATTTTGTATTCTCAAGTGGAGAGATTTGGAGAGAAAGAGAGAGAATTCCAACTGATCCTTTCTCTTCTTTCCTATTGTTTCAAACACAGGACAAGAAATTGGTCTAATATTCTCTCCTTGTATTCTGTCATTGCCTTAACATCTTTTCCCTTCTCTTCTGTCCCCTTCTTTTCCTTTTTCTTCTCTCCTGAAGTTATAATCAAAAGAGATGAATAACATCCAAAATATAAACATGTCATTGGGATCGACTGATGCCTTTAGTAATTCTTAATCCATATTTATGATTTGTGATCTAAAATGTATCAAAATTAGAAAAAACAAATGATCCATAATATAAGCCCAAATACTCATTTTTAGTCATTTACACTCTCATAATCTAGTCACATATAGTTCTGGTAATTTTAGGTCTGAATTAGCATTATATACAGAATTATCATTACAAACAACTACGATAACAAGCATGTTGCATCACCCAATTACCATTTACTATCATATCGAACCTTATGTTAGTTAAAGATGCACTCCGCAAAAAACTTTCACATAGATCAAAATCTCCCACTCCCTAATTTGTATGCCATGAAAGTCAGCATACACTAGTCAGAATAATCATCGAGAACTTTCAGACGAGTTAGTTATGTGAAGCTTGCATAAAATATTTAGCTCGTATGCCACTTCTAACAAGCTATAGAAAGGAAGCAAAGAAATAAGTTTGCTTTCAGATATGTAGCACGTTTTGGTTCATTGTGTACCCAAATATATCAGATCTTCAGAGTAAGATTTCAGGGAGTGGTTAGATCGTAACAAGTTCTCAAAATTGCTTATCAAAAGCTTAAGAAAAAGAAAGATTCCACAAACAAAAAGGATCTTGTTCGAAGCCCTAGTAGACAGGTTCCACTTTGTTTCAGTTGAACTTCAGAATCAAAACCATCTGAAACCCGAAAATGAGAAACTAAAGTCTAGGACAGGAACATATATCCAAATGAAACTTAATAACGCCCTATCGCAAAACCAAGCTGCTTTTCAAACACAATGACTCTTCGTCTTGGCCTTCATTTCGGTTACTCTCAAGTAAAGTTTCATAATTTCGAGTGTAAGTATCGATATTTCCTTATCCCTATAAACAAGACTCGAGAATCCATTTCCTCCATCTAACTGAAGATTTTTCTCATGTGCGAATTGATGATGAGGAGAGATAACCTGACGGTTCACGGTATCAAGATATGGGCAGTCCCTCCGGCGCTCCACCTGTCGCTGCTGCCTCACCGGAGCTGGAGGGCGAGAAGCATCCTTCTGATGCAACGCCTCCATCACTTCCTCATCCCCAGCCCTCACTCTAACTTGACCACCGCCATTTTCAATAGTTTCCCCACGACCGTTCTCTTGTCCCATCAACTGATCTCTACGGCCCGCCCCCTCCTCCTCCTCGTCATCGTCGTCCTTGTAGACAGCGAGGCCGGGGAGAGCAGCAGCGTCGGTCTCTTCCTCGCCTCCGCCCTCTTCGTCCTCTTCCCCATCAGATATCCGCTGCCTCTTGATCGCCTCCGCCTCCAAGTCGTCGTCTTCCTCTGTGAGTCTCCGCTTCCCTGGCGGATCCATGGGCGTCGAATCGATCTCCAAACCCTAACGTCGGTACCGGACCGAGACGATTCGGGAAAGCTCGAGAACTAAGATCGAACCGACGTGACGGGAGGAAGAAGAGTTAGTAAAGAAACGGGCACGGGTCGGATCCGGATTTTGATCCAATTCGGGCGGATTTGGGTCGGGTCGGCTCGGTTTGGGTCACATTTGGTTGCCCCCTATAAGAGCAGTATTACAATATGGAAACTAATTTTGTTGAGATTTATTATATCCAAATAATGAAAAAGTAAAGTAAATGATTACAAGCCATATTGCTATGAATGTTCAAACCTTCTTAATAGCTAAGATGAGGATTGCGAGAGAGACGCGTGTGGATTAGAAAACTTAGTTCTTCATGGCCCCTCACTTTTATCTCCTGTCTTTGAATTAATGGCGATCTATAGGATTGCTTAAGACTCGTAGCCCAAACACTTCCATGAGGCTTTGGGCTTCTCAAGGAGTTGGAAGAAGCATACGGACGGTAGAGGATCGGATTTCCTATTTTTCTTTTTCTTTTTTTTCTTTTTTTTTTTATTCAGGTCTATCATACATACACAAACTATGTTTTGATAGTCTCTAATTGAGGAACAAAAATAGACATTTGAGTCTGATTCGAATTCAAAATTGGTGTACAAATAGGTATATTCAAGTTCGGGTTATGGACTATGAATTTAGTGGGTTTATGATTGGAATGAGACGATATTTATGGATATATTTTTTGGGATCATTATAATAGTATTAAATTAATTTTTTACTACATATTTACCCAATCTAGTTAAATTTATATTTCTATGATCATTTTTTTATTTAATATTTATTTAATATTTGATATATATATATATATATATATATATATATATATATATATATATATATATATATATATATTGTTAGTGTAAAATTGATTATTGAATGAAGTTGAGCTAATCGAGACCACTTCCTATGAGGCATTGCGTTCTACCAACCAGATCTTCTAAGAGGTGAATGTTTATGTCAAATGTTATAGTAAGACTAGAGAAATACCTTAGTAATAAAGAATATTTTATGCTTTGACTCATGCTTATATGATCCTTTTGATTGATTGGGCTTTACATGTCACGAAAATGATTAACTATATCAGTATCTCAAAATATGTGACTTTTAGTTCATCATATCATTAAATAAAACAAGTATGATACATATTTATTGCGATCATGACATCTCAAGTATATGATATAATCTCTTACTTACCATGCTATGTAGCTAGACATAAGCACACAACAATGCTCTAACACATCTTCCCATGCTCGTGCCCTAAACGAGCAAAATGTGTGATGCCTTAGACACGATCTACGGCCCATACTCCATAATATGGTAAATCATATTGATAGGCTACTACTTATATCGCATCACCTTAGACATGAATCAACGACTAATTTCAACACTAATATTTATGCTACTCTAATTATAAAATGATTTAAGTGTATATGATTATATATTCAAATAGATGTAGTATCAAATAAGTATTCATTCAATCTTAAATTTTGATGATAAAATCAATTGATGAAATTATAAATTGATCAATGTTTAAGTGACGTAGGATTAACTTCATGGAAAGACAAATCGATTATTGAAGTCAGAGAATCATATGATAGGCAGGAGAGCTTTATGTCAAAAGATTTAACGTCGGATCATGATTGATTGACATCCTGGAAGGATTTTGTGTCATGTATTCAGATATCAAGCTAGAAGGATTGAACACTACACCAATAAGATTGAATGTTACGAGAGGTTAACATGTCAATCGGGCAACACGCCAAAGGAGAAGACAATATACCAAAGGATTGGACGAAGTACTAGATGAACAAATGACATGCTGAACAATAGAGTATTTTTATCTTATAATTTGGTCATGTCTTGATTGAAGTAGTTTAAGTTGTAATTGAGTTGATTTTAGGTGTAACTATCTCAACTCGATTAGGGATCCATTAGTTCTAAGTGAGGTCTGATTTGAGCCCAATGAGAGGCCCATTCAGTGACCCAAAGTCAGATCAGATAATAGCACCACCATAATAGGACGTGGAACTGCTTATGAGTTAGAACGTACAAAATGTACGTTTTTTCGAAGACCAAATACAGTTTAGATTAGTAGCGGTATTGCCCAAATACAATGTATGTTCATACAAGGTGTACGTTTTCATAATGGTGGTACCATATAGACTGGCAGTAGTATTGCCCAGATACAATCTTCCAAACTGTGTCAGGTGGTGGTATCGCCTAGACTAGGCGATGGTACCGTTAATACACTAGGCTACATGCGGTGGTATCGCTAATACTTTGAAATCCCGATTATTTAAATTTTAGCTTTATTTTTTGAAGTCATTTGGAGTCTATAAATATCTCAATTATTCCTACTTGGGATAACAAGAAAAAGAGTAGAAAGGGAGAAAGAATCCAAGTAAAAAGTGTTGTAATCTATTTTAAAGTTTAGAGTCTCTTTCTCGTGGAGATATAAGTTTTGTAAAGAAGTGAGGTCTTATGTAAAAGAGAGATGTTAAGGTTCTCTTTTGAGCTTGTGAAAAGGAGAAAGAATTATAAAGAAAATTGTTAATCTTCATCCATTGAAAGAAATCGATAGTAAAAACCTATGACATTGAGTGAAAAGGAATAGTGGATATAGGTCAGAATTGACTGAACAATTATAAATCGATTTATATTTTTGTTTATGCTTTTGATTCATATTACTTATTGATTTACTTGCTCATTATTTTTATAAATATTTTTAAATTAAATATATTTTTGATACGGGTTTGATCAAATTAATTTTCAAATCAACATGATTTTATGACAGTACTAATCCACCCCCTTTGAGTTTCGAGTAACATTTATGGTCCTAACATTATTATGTTTAGAGATCAAAATTATCCTCTTATGATAATTAGGAATCAATATGATAGTCTCATTCTGTAATTCCTAATTAAAATGAAAATGAGATTACTTTAATCGAAAATTTTATTTTATTTAATTTAGGTTCTTGCCTACTTTCCAACTCATCCAACCAAACTGGTTCTAACAATTTGAATTCAGACAAGAGAATACTAGAAGATTGGATGCATGATTTGCATCTCCTGTTTCAACGCTTGTCCTCGTCCTCCCTCTTCCCTCCCCATTTCACACTTACCAAACCGGCCTCTTTAAATCCTCATTGAATACCCTCCCCCAACTCAATCTGTCGACCAACCAACCCCGCGTCCAAGATTTTGACAAGCCAACACCCAATTGAGTATTCAATCGATTCCTTCCAATAAATAGCCTACCATCAATGCATGCTGATGTTGGTGCTGTTCTCGAGGTTCCATGTGTAGGTAATCATCATGTAATGCGATGTGAATTCAAACGAAGGGGAGAGGAGGGGGTTCGGTGGGATGGTGGGGGGGGGGGGGGGGAGGAGTGTCCTTTCCTTTCGTGTTCGTTCGTGTATGGAGAGAGGAGGAGGAGTAGTGCTTTGCATGATGGTGGTGCTTTTTCTTCTCTTTTGGCATGGTTGTAAAGGGTCGATTTGAAGTACTCACCCATCGGCTGAAAGGATGGAATTTGGACCAAAACAAGCATTGGGAATCGAAAGCTTTGATGCCTCGGAATCTCGAGGAAAAAGGTGCGCGAGACAACCTCGCTTTAATGTTTTAGAAGCTAAGCACTTTGATGATTTATATAAACATCATCAAATCCAACTTGGGATCTTGAGTTCAATGAAATGTTAGTCCAATATATAGTTTATTTCGATCATAATATTGAAAACAATATATTTTTATTTCGAAAATAGAATCGAAATCGAATTAGTTTCCAGCTCGATTCAAATGATGATGAGAGTCAGAAAGAGTTTTCTTTGATAGAAACTAATAATCTTTCTTTAAACAATGTCATAGCCACAGATTTAAAATGTGTCTATGTTTTAGGCTTTTGATATCTACCACTTAGTCACACAGTGCTCGTCATGCTCATCTTTTTAGCTCCTACTTTGTCTCATTCAGAAAGTGTTTTGTGGTGGGGATTCATATTGATTCCTGAAGGCCTAAAGCTACTGTGTCGTTTCATAATTATCGGTATCGGATACAGTCGATTAATTGGATCGGGTAAATTCTTGATCGATTTGGTTCATCATAAATGTCAGCAGCTGCAAAGAACTCACAGGTCAAATGGAGTTGACATATGAATTATAATGTGTTGGTCGATTTTAATCGTTTTAATCACTATATGGGATCAGTGAAATCATCATATCATTTACTATAGAAAACACAGTTCGAGCCTATGAAATGATGCTTCCTAATTGAAGGCAGATTTCCGTTGGTTTCACCTACAGATTGCCGCACACCTTCGATCCATCCATCCATCCATCAGTCCATTGACTGAGGGCTCCGAAGCCAAACGTATCCATGGCCAAGCCATCACATCAACCCAGCTACTCCGAGCTAGCCTCACGGAGGAAACCATGGGCATGGCTTGAGGTGTCAGGTTCGCTTTCCCATCTCTCTCATCCATGGCAATGGCTTGAGGTGTCAGACTTCTTTTCCTTGTCTCGACACCTGTCTGTGCTGCCTCTGCACTTGGCACTGTTCTCCATCTATGCTTTTTATATATGAGACAACTCTTTCTGATTTCCTCAAGATAAGACCTTATCTACCAAGTCAGTACCTCACTTGACATGTTGGTACTGTTGCTTGGGTGCTCCATTGGGTGGTTGAAAGTATTATGGTAAACAATTATAAGATTGCATGGCCCATGGTGTGGGGATTCAAAATTTGAAATAAGTGTCATTTTATTGTGTTGGACAGCTCACAATGGCAGCTTTCCAGGGGTAGCCTTGTGGTACTCCTCACCCGAGGGGGTAGAGGTTACTATATTGTCATCCTTTTTCTTATCTTGGGAAAAGGTGACAAAAAGAAAGAGCAGCTGATGAAGGCAGAGTCTTGTCAGCCCAGAAAAGATTTTTTGGACAAATAAAAGGCTGGAAATTGTAACAGCACCTCATTTTCCAAAGTTTATATTGTTTTTGGTTGCAAGAAGGTAGCTTTTGATCTACTAGTTGTTAGCCACCAAACCTTACAAAAACTTTTGTTGACTTCCAAGCATTAGAAACTCTTGTATGGA